CTGCACAGTGTAGAGGGAATACTGGCAGGCAGGGAGGCTGATTCAGGAGTGTCTGCTCGCTGGTAAGCCTCCTGGACAAGGCCTGCTTCTGGCACCTTCGTCCCTCCCTTCCCCAACCCTCTGCCCCCCACTCCTGCCCCCTAATCCACATACCCAAATCCTCTGCCACCTCCTGCACCCATATCCCTTCCTAGATCTGGCACCCCATCCCTTGCCCAGATCACAGTCCCCATTACCTGCATTAGGTCTAAATCCAACCCTCTGCACTCCAGTCCAGTGCCCCAGGTCACAACTGCCTCCTTCACCCAAACTCCTTCCCTTACTCCAAGCTCCCTTCTGCACCCAATCTCCATCACAGACCCTGCATCTTCTCTTCCATTAATATCATGGAAAAGTGCAGGCTTGACCACTTTCCAAATTCTGGGAGTGGCCACACATCAAAAATGATTGCCCATCCATGGTCTAGACAGTGCCTTCTAGGAGCCACTTTTAATACAGTGAAGCATTTAATGACTTTCCTCCTCTGGCAGATCCAACTCCCAATCCAGAGACATTTTCACACATCCCACTGATACCAGATTCATAGCCGCTGGATACCTGGGTGATACAGAATGTGACCCTAAAAGGTACATAGGTGTTGCATTTAGTGGGATTTTCCCGGAAGTTTGAGGGCAAATAAAAATCTGAAGTCCATTGCTCTTATTACAGCAATCAGCCTTGGAGTGTAGTGGTGAAAAGGGGCTGTGTGGAAGAGATAGATACTCCAGCTCACGGGACCTAGGGTAGGGGTAGGCAGCCTGTAGCCCATCTGTTTGATGTGCCCCCTTGAGGTTTGATGTGTGGCCCACAAAACATTTTGTTTACTGTTGCCCCCATGCAGGATTGCCACATTCCTCTGGTTTCCATCTGCGTAGGGTTTTTTCCTTCTCAGTATTACTCAAGTGACATGCATGTAAAGCAAGGAATATGAAGTGAGGTGCATACTGTCTGCACACAGCACTTACTGTGAGAGCCAAGCGCTCCCTCTGTATTCAATCCAAGTGCTGCTATGGTTCAGCTGGCACAAACCACAAATTCTAGGTATGCAAGCGCAGTTAGGAAAATTGCCCTGTCCCAGGAGACCGTCTTGGTTACAACAATCTAGCAGCCCATTGAGATTAAGGAGGACGCCTTGTGCAGCCCACTCACATAGACCATAGGGTGAGCTCTAGGTGTATTCTTAGTCAGCCTTCCCTGACAAGATTCAGACACTCAGTCTCTCTTCATTTGTCAATGCCATGTGCTCAGTGTTCCCTCTAATTTTCTATATCCATTTGTGGAATGGCTTTTGTTATGAGAGGTGTACCAGCACGTAGGTGATGTGTCACATAACAAAAAACATTCTGCACACAGACAATGTGTAGTGGAGATGGGTCTGAGGGATTGGAGTGAGGATCATAAAAGGGGGTTCCAGGCTGGGGCAGGTAGTTAGTGAGCAGGAGGCAGTGAAGGCTCTTATCTGAGGGTATAAACACTGAAGTGGGGCAGGGGATGAGGGGCTTGGAGTGGAAGAGGGGACTCCAGTTTGGGGAGGGGCTCTGGGTTTGTGGGGGACTTAGGGTGGGGTGGGACATTGGGACTCGGCTTAACTGGGTGGCTTCTGGTCAGTGGTTGTAACAAGTTCAGTCCTGTCTATGAGCACCCCTTAGTGGCTGAAGGGGGGGGTCTCGCAATAATTACCTCGGCTGTTTGTGGGCAAGGCACAGCAGTCCAATCCATGGCTGAGTTCAGGCTTCCTCTTTACCTCCTCATTCAGGTGTAGTTTGTAAGGGGTTTGGGGGGGACCCAGGCCCACCCACTCCTCTGGGTCCCGGCCCAGGGACCCTATAGGTAGCAGTTACCTGCCAGTTATCAGAGTCGTGTCCCTGGGCCACTTCCCCGGGATGCCATTTCATCCAGCCCTTCTCTAGGACCTAGTTGCAAAGTTTCCCTTGTCCGGGGTTTCTCAGAATTGCCGCTGGCTAGCCTTTTGCCAAAGGATCTAGCTCCGCTTAGTTACAGGGGCCCAGCCCCACTTGGAGCTGTCCAAGGTGCTGGTGTTCCCAGTCAGCCCAGAGGTCTGCCTGGGTTGAGCTCCAGGTTGGAATTGACAGGCCTTAGCTAGCAGCTCCTTATATAGCAGCCTGCCACATCCTAGTTGGCTGCAGTGAAGGCTGCCCCTCTACCCTGCTCGGAAGACCTCTCCACTGCTCCTGCTGCTGGCCAGGGCACTGAAAGGCCTCCAGCAGGTAGTTCAGGTTTTGTGCACCCCATCACAGCGGTGCTAAGGCAGGCTGTCTTATGCCTGTCTGTCCTGGGGGCACCCTGCTATGCCCCAGAAGCAGCCAGCAGGTCTAGTTCCTGGAGGGGTGTATGAGTTTGCAGCATGCCATGTGCACTGCTTTTACCTGGAAGCACTGCCTCCCATCTCCCATTGGTCAGTTTCTGGCCAATGGGTGTATAGAGCCAATACTCAGGATGGGGGCAGCGTGCAGAGCCCCTTGGCTTCCCGTGTAGGAGCCAGACCTGCTCTGCTGGCCCCAGCACAGAGCTTCCCTGACTGTGGCAGCTCCATGCTGAGGCTGGCAGGGAGGGACCCCTCTGCCTCAGCAACAGTGGCTCCGAGCTGGGGTAGTGGGAGGGATGCCTCTCCCCTGACTGAGGCAGCTTCGGGGCTTGAGGAGGGGCATCGCTCCCTGCTGCAGCCCTGAGCCCCTGCACAGGGCTTAATATGCCCGGCTGCACAGCTTAGAGGGAACGACGATTAGAATCCTTTGGTTTTTGCCACATTGATGTGGCTGGGCTCTGCTCCCATCCTAGTGACCGTAAGGTGCTAGAAGAGCAACAGAGGTTGTGATGGGCAACTGACATGTATAGAAAGTCAGTCAGGAGCTTGGCTCATTGCAGTGCAATTGGGGCCATGGAACAGTCGCCATAGAAAGAGCCTGGGAACAGCTGAACAGAGTATTTCCTTTTCCTCAGCTCGTAGAATGGATTTTCACAACGTTCCAGGTGCAAGTGATGGGCTTTTTGTTCCTTACCAGATCCGTCTCTGGCTATGAGGAGAGAAGCCCCACAGTAGATATTGAATCGGAGGGTACCAGAGGCACTGAACACAGAGAGCCTGAATGGAATGCAGCAAAGTAAGGAGTTACCACAGCCATCAGATTGCGCTTGTGAGGAATTCGTGAGCCATGTTCCAGTCCCCTTGCAGAACATCACAATTTGAAATTCCCATGCCAGGTGCCAAGCCTCTGGCACTGCTGCACCTTGGTCTCCTTTGTTCTCTCTGTCTGTAGCACACAGCAGTGTGCTCTGAATCTGGATGTTGGCATGATGTCCAGGAGTTGTGTGGTGCTTGTGAGATGATCTTCTGGTCCTTTCTGGCCTTAAACTGAAGTACCCATGAGGAAAAATGTGCAAGTGCTTAGCATCCATAGGCAGTCCTATCCCTTCCCCCCTCTCACACTGCTGCCCACCTGCAACCTCTGCAGATCAGCTCCTCTCCCTTCTGCCAAATGCAGGAGGCTCTGGGATGAACAGCTTTTCTGCAGTCTGCAGAAGGCTCTAGGAGAGAGGGGCAGGACCAATAAGGAAGTTCTGAGGATGAGGCAGAAAGAGGTGGGGTGGGGTGTTGGGAGAAGGGGGTGGAGTGAAAGCTAGGCCTTGAGCTGAGGAGTGTGGGGAGTTGAGCACCCACAGGGAAAATTAGAAGCTGGCATCTGTGGTGATTACTTCCATTAGGAGCCTGTGTGCCTGTCTTGGAGTGCCTGCTAGGGGATTTAAACAAATCATACCCATGTGTTTCTGCTGGAATTTGCATTCAGATCTCCAGGCAGCTTTGAAAATCTCAAGCATATCTCTCTGGCTTTCAGCCTGATGGTTCGTAGCTTTGGAATGGATTTCCACACAGGCCGATAGATTAATTTTCCATATGTTTTTAAGCACACCTCTTTGCTTTCTCCCCTAGGCTTTCTGCCTTGGAGGGCATTACAGAGCATGCTGAGAAGAACATGTCTACAACCCGAGCTGAGTGTCCTCCTACAAGAAAGCACACTGACCTGCACCTGAACAGAGCACAGTAAGGAGCCAGGGAATTCAGGCCCTGTTTTGTGCTGAACATTATACACACACACACACAAGGCTAATAAAATCTTTTCCTGCAGTGATGCCATCTATGGGATATCTTCACCACTGGCTGGTAACAGTACATTTCCTACAAGAGTGGGGGTGAAAACATCAGTCTCTCTCATGTTAATTAGACCTGAGACACCCAAATATCATATAGCCAACGGGCATGTCCCAGGGACATGCCCTAAGTACTTCTAAGCTACACCGCCATGCAGCTGCTCAGCTTCCCATTAAGCCCCACACACTGGCACAGGGACTCTGGACTCAGAGCTTCAGTGGGAAAAGATGCCTCTCCCCCAGCCACAAAGATTCCACAGCTGGGGGAGAGGCGCCCCTGTCACTGGCTCCAGCACAGAGCTGCCATGGCCAGGAGAAAGGCTCCCCTCTCAGCTGCAGTGGCTGAGGAAGAGGCGCCCTTTCCCCAGCACCAACACAGAACTGTTGGGAGAAAGAGGCTCCTCCCCATCATCCCCAAGAGGGAGCTGCCGTGGCGGGGGCAGCGCTGAACTAGGTCGGATAGGAAGTGGCCCGTAGCAAGTCTGGCTCCTAGGAAGGAGCCCCCAACCTGAGCACTGGCTCTGCACTCCCATTAGCTGGTTCCTAGCCAATGGGAGCTGGGGGAGTGGTGCTTGCAGAGGAGAGCAGCATGCACAGCCTCATGTTCTCTCCCCACCCCCACCAGATCCAGACCTACTGGCCAGTTACAGGGTGCAGTTCTGTCCTGGTGCCATTACCCAGGAGCTGCCCAGATAAGCCCAACCTCCTGTCCCACTCTGAGACCCCCCCCAAACATGGAGCCATCTCCTGCACCCCAAAACCTTCATCCCCAGCCCATACCCCCAGCCCAGAGTCTGTATCCCCCCATTTCCAGGCCTGAGCCCTTCCTCAAAGCTGGTGTCCCCTCTTGCATCCCAAACCCCTCATCCCTGGGTCCAACCCAGAGCCCTTGCCCCCCTTCTACGCCACACCCAGTACTGAGTCTCAACACAATCTCCCTCACCACTTGTGACTCATTTGTGGCTCTATCATGCCTACATCGATACCAGTCCTGGCCTCTTCACAGTGGGCTACAGAGAAGTCAAGTGCCTAATCAGCCCAACGGGCCTGGGGCACCCCAGGCACACTCCTCTGGATGGGTCCTCATAGACTTGATTTGGAGTGCTCCAGGATTTTCATCCCTGCCTAGGCACACACAAGCTAGCAAGTCTTCTAAGCACCCCAGAAGAAGCATCAGTCCTGGGATAGGATTGTCCCCATAGCAAACTGTTGGTCACCCATGTTTTATGCACTCCCCCAGCAGCCCTTTTGGAACTCCTAGGTTGTTTCCTCATCCCCCTAGTCTCTGTCATCAGCCCAGCCAATGGGAAGAGTGCCAAATTGCTCATCAGGTTAGCTCCCGAGCCAACTAAGCAGCCTATTCTGTAGGATGAACCTTTGCCTGGGAACCAGTTTAACCACAGGTGGTTCCATTGGCTCCTGTCAGCCTGTCTCCAGTCTCCCTCCGCTGATGACTCAGTAGTCTGACTCCTCCTCTCTGATTTCAAAGGATTATAAATCTTACCCAGAGCTGCTGAGGAGAATGATTGTGGCTTTGCATATACAAGTTGAGCACATGCAAGAGAACATTTCAAGCTTTTGGACATTCTCCAGAGGCCAGTTCTTTGGAGGGAGAGTAGCCTATCTCATAATGAACCCTGGAGAACCAGCCTCCTCACGATCGCATCAAAGTGCACCGATAAATGGTATCATGCCCTGCTGTAAGGGCTTCAGGCAGTTACCCCGTTCCCCTCCTCCTCCACCTTTCTCAAACTCCTGCTGCTGCCAGTGAGAGGACATGTGAGGGGAAGTTGAACTCAACTCCCAAAGAAAAAAAGTCCAGAAGACTTGATTCATTAGGGCAGGAGCGGGGGAACCTTTTTGGGTCAAGGGCCTCTGGCCCACAGAGATATCAGTCAGGGCTGCCCAAAAGTGAGGCGCGCACACATCCTTGATGTGGTGTGATTTTTTTTTTTAATTTAGAATTTTAGTGTGGTGGCTGAGTTTGGGAAGGGCTTTTGGAGCTTGCCCATATTTGGCTGCCCCTTCCTCCCTAAAAGCACTCCATGCAGGGGAGGGGCTTCCCTTCCCCCCCACTCTGGGGATGAATTTTCCCCTCCCCCTTCCCTCTCAATCCCACACGCCTCCTTACCTGCAAGAGTAGTTGTTGCTGGCATCTTCTGCAGCTGCGTGAAGCTGGGAAATAGCTCCAGCCTGTTCTTCACTGCTGCGTGGCCACCCAGTGTGGGGCAAGTGTGGCAAGCACAGAAATGCTGGAGGAGCTCCTGTTTGCACAGGGGCTCCAGCACAAGGAGCTTCCCCCTCCAGCCTGTTCTCCTGCGCAAGCCTCCCCTACATGAAGGAGAGGAGCCGGAAGTGCCTGCAGCCCCAAGCACCCCCTGCAACATTTCACAGCTGCTGGATCCCCCCCCCCGAGGGCTGGATTAAATTGTTTGGCAGGCTGGAGGTTCCCTACCACTGCATTAGGGAGAAAAAGATATTCTGCCTCCTCTCTCCAGTTGTGCATGATGAACCAGCAAGTGCTATTAGCTAGCTATGACTTTGTAAACTGGAATGCAGTATTCACATTTTTGGGCATGTTTTATTGCAGTGTGAGGAAGGCATTCCGAGGTTTCTTTTCAGAAGGCTGCTTGATGGCCAAGATGTTGCTCCACTTTGCACTTGGTGTAGTCACTTGTAGGGTCACGGCCTCTGCAACAATGAAGAGGAGAGAACTCATGTTTCACCTTGGACTTCCAGAAAACCATGGGCTATGTCTACACTTTGCTGGTTTTGCACAAGAAATATGCAAATGAGGCTGTGTGGAATATCGCCAAGCCTCATTTGCATAATTAACGAGCGGCTGCTTTTTCCACAAAAGGCTTTTGCACAAAAAGGACCCATCTACACTGCTCCTTCTTGCACAAAAACCCTCTCTTGTACAAGAGCCGTTTTTCCAGGGGAAAAAAGCGGAAAAACGGCTCTTGCACAAGAGGGGGTTTTTGTGCAAGAAGGAGCAGTGTAGATGGGTCCTTTTTGCCCAAAAGCATCTTGTGCAAAAAGTGACTGCTTATTAATTATGCAAATGAGGCTTGGTGATATTCCACACTTAGCCTCATTTGCATATTTCTTGTGCAGAACCAGCACAGTGTAGACATAGCCATGGATACTCACCCTTGGTGGCCAGTTTTTGTTTTCCAACATTATTGATGAAATTCATATTCATTAACTCTTACATTATTCTATGCTCTTCGAGGCTTTATACCCCAAGATTCCCAGAATGAATCATAATAGAGCTCAGTCTCAAAAATATTACAGCATATTACATACAGCTTTTATAATCACCAAAGCAGCATGATATTTTGAGAGGAAGCACAAGTCCCAGAAAATGCTCTGACTCCCATTTAAATCAGCTGGCTCATCCTCAGTGAGCTGGGGTCAGCCATGAAGTACTCTGCAATCATCTAGCAAAGACCCTTCACCCATTTGGAGACAAGTTGTTGCATTTCTTCAATGCTTGGGAAGTCATAGTGACAGACAACTGCATCCCAAGTACTATGAGACTAGAAGGGGGTTTTACTCATGATCGCCAAGTGAGGGAGGACTTCTAAAACTCATACATTTCAACAGGTTCATCAAAATACATATGATTTCACAATTCCCTAACATCAATTCTTCATTCCTTTGATCTCAGCACCTCATTTGCTGCCTTCCATATTCAGGATACCTACTTGCATGTGGCACTAGTGCCAAGTCTCAGAAAGGTTCTATGATTCATAGTAGTGGTCCAGCCTGATCAATGCACAATATTTCCCATTGGCCTGTCATTGGCCTAATTTGCATTTGATAGAGGTAGCCTACTTAAAGAAAATTCATGTCTTCCCTTACCTAGATGACTGATTAGCATGAGGCATCAGTGTTCCACCAGTTGAACTGCCATCATTTCAATGGTACTCATACTGAATAAAGGAAAATCCTCACTAAACCCAACACAGAAAATCAAGTTAATTGGGTCACTACTCAATTCTATGAATGTGATGGCTTTTCTCCCATGAGAGATTTCAGACCAGCTGTGCCTCTCTCTCAACTCTCACCCTATTAGTGTAGTTCAAAGAGGTTTAATGGTCCCTACATTGGTGGATGGACCAGAACACCATATGTGGAGGTGTACTGTTTTTTTGCCCTCTTCCAGCCAAGACAATCAATACAGATGCCTCTCTGAAAGGGTGTGCTGCACGTCTTGGGGACTTGCAAACCAAAGCATTATGGACAGAATGAAAAGCAGCTCTTCATATCAATGTCTTTGAACTTTGAGCAGTTCATAAGGCTTGCACATCAAGGGCTTGTTAGTCCTGATACTAGCCAACAACATGACTGCAATCTACTGTGTAAACAGACAGAGAGAAACACACTCCAATAAGCTTTGCCAAGAGATGTTGAGACTCTGGGATATTTGGATCAAGGAAGGTGTTACTCTCATTGCTGCTCATTTGCCTTGTTTTGAGACCCAGTTCACACAATCTCTAAATTACTATTTTTTTGATATGCATATTTTTTCTCCATTTTCCACACAAGCTGTGGAGGAGATGGGCTTCTTGCTGTACGAGGGCCCCATGATATTCTAATGCAGAAGTCTCACAAAGAGTGTTTCTTTACACTCTAATTCCCCTGGTTAATTCCAGTGGCATGTTGCAAACCAAAATAACCTTCTAGAAGCTCCCCATCTAGAGACAGCAGCATTATTACACGATGTGCAGAGTACAATGAGCCCAATGTGAACATGACAAGGTAAGGAGCAAGGGAGTGTTTGCTGTTATGCCTCATACTTGTATCATCCTCTTCTAGTCTTGGTTTGTTCTCTAATAAAGACATTGTTGCAAAAGCCTGTTTCTTGACCAGTGGAAAGAGAGGGAGTTACAATAAGGTGGGTCAAAGCCTGTGGCGTCAGGCTATTAGGACATTAGCATGCAGCTACTTACCACTCTTTAAATAGCCTGGTTTGACCTCTTTCTCAGTGCACTGAATTGACTCTTGACTGGTTCAGATGCAAGTGTTTAAGGCTTTAATAGGCATTTTCTTCCTGTGTCAGGATTGACCCAGATTATGAAGAGAGACCTTCAACTAGCGGAGAAACCAGTCAGGAGAGTCCTCAAGCCAGGAGGCACAAGGAGCTTGACCTCAACTCAGCAAGGTAAGGAGCCAGTGCAGTTAAACCCATGCTTGTTATCTTGGATGTTTCTTGTTTCCCCTGTTGTTTCCATGAACTAACACATACTCTCAATTAAATCCTGACCTCACTAGTGGCAGTGGCAAAACTCTGTATGATTGTATACATCTATTAATAATGACAAGAGAGCTGGGATTTTATTCTCTTAGTGTGCTTAATTGTGTTTAATTTCTTGGCACCAGTTTGGTCAGAACATCACTAAGAGTACTATTGAATGTTGCATATCATAGAATACTAGGATTGGAAGGGACCTTGAGAGGTCATCGAGTCCAGTCCCCTGCCCTCATGGCAAGACCAAATACTGTTTAGACCATCCCTGATAGACATTTATCTAACCTACTCTTAAATATCTCCAGAGATGGGGATTCCACAACCTCCCTGGGCAATTTATTCCAGTGTTTGACTACCCTGACAGTTAGGAACTTTTTCTAATGTCCAACCTAAACCTCCCTTGCTGCAGTTTAAGCCCATTGCTTCTTGTTCTAGCCTCAGAGGCCAAGATGAACAAGTTTTCTCCCTCTTCCTTAGGACACCCTTTTAGATACCTGAAAACTGCTATCATGTCCACCCTCAGTCTTCTCTTTTCTAAACTAAACAAACCCAATTCTTTCAGCCTTCCTTCATAGTTCATGTTCTCTAGACCTTTAATCATTCTTGTTACTCTTCTCTGGACCCTCTCCAATTTCTCCACATCTTTCTTGAAATGCGGTGCCCAGAACTGGACATAATTCTCCAACTGAGACCTAACCAGCGCAGAGTAGAGCGGAAGGATGACTTCTCGTGTCTTGCTCACAACACACCTGTTAATGCATCCCGGAATCATATTTGCTTTTTTTGCAACAACATCACACTGCTGACTCATATTCAGCTTGTGGTCCACTCTAACCCGTAGATCCCTTTCTGCAGTACTCCTTTCTAGACACTCACTTCCCATTCTGTATGTGTGAAACTGATTGTTCCTTCCTAAGTGGAGCACTTTACATTTGTCTTTATTAAACTTCATCCTGTTTACCTCAGACCATTTCTCCAATTTGTCCAGATCATTTTGAATTATGACCCTATCCTCCAGAGCAATCGCAACCCCTCCCAGCTTGGTATCATCTGCAAACTTAATAAGCAAACTTTCAATGCCAATATCTGAATCGTTGATGAAGATATTGAAGAGAGCTGGTCCCAAAACAGACCCCTGCGGAACCCCACTTGTAATACCTTTCCATCAGGATTGAGAACCATTAATAACTACTCTGAGTACGGTTATCCAGCCAGTTATGCGCCCACCTTATAGTAGCCCCATCTAAGTTGTATTTGCCTAGTTTATTGATAAGAATATCATGTGAGACTGTATCAAACGCCTTACTAAAGACTAGGTATACCACATCCACCGCTTCTCCCTTATCCACAAGACTCGTTATCCTATCAAAGAAAGCTATCAGATTGGTTTGACACGATTTATTCTTTACAAATCCATGCTGGCTGTTACCTATCATCTTATTTTTTTCCAGATATTTGCAGATGAATTCCATAATTACCTGCTTCATTATCTTTCCTGGCACAGAAGTTAAACTGACTGGTCTGTAGTTTCCTGGGTTGTTCGTATTTCCCTTTTTATAGATGGGCACTATATTTGCCTCTTTCCAGTTTTCCATCTCTCCAGTTTTCCAGGATTTTTCAAAGATGATAGCTAAAGGCTCAAATACTTCCTTTGTCAGCTCCTGGAGTACTCGAGGATGCATTTCATCTGGCCCTGGTGACTTTCAGACATCTAGCTTTTCTAAGTAATGTTTAACGTATCCTTTTTTTATTTTAACTTCTAAACCTACCCCATTTCCACTAGCATTCACCATGATAAGCATCCTGTCACCATCAATCTTCTTGGTAAAAAGCAAAATGAAGAAGTCATTAAGCACCTCTCTCATTTCCAAGTCTCCTGTTATTGTTTCTGCCTCTTCACTGAGCAATGGGCGTACCCTGTCCTTGGTCTTTCTCTTGCTTTTAATAGATTTGTAGACTGTTTTCTTGTTATCCTTTATGTCTCTAGCTAGATTTAGTTCTTTTTGTGCCTTTGTCTTTCTAATCTTGCCCTGCATACTTGCATTATTTCCTTATATTCATCCTTTGTAATTTGACATAATTTCCACTTCTTATATGACCCCTTTTTGATTTTTAGAGCATGTAAGATCTCCTGGTTAAGACAGGGTTGTCTCTTGCCATACTTTCTATCTTTCCTGTGCAGTGGAATAGTTTGATTTCGGGCCCTTAATAATGTCCCTTTGGAAAAACTGCCAACTCTCTTCAGTTGTTTTTCCTCTTAGTTTTGCTTACCAGCTGTCTGAGTTTACTAAAATCTGCTTTCCTGGAATCCATTGTCTCTGTTTTGATGTTCTCCCTTCTACCATTCCTTAGAATAATGAATTCTATGATTTCATGATCACTTTCACTCAAGCTGCCTTCCACTTTCAAATTCTCAACCAGTTCCTCCCCCCTATCTGTTATAATCAAATCGAGAACAGCTTTCCCCCCCTCAGTAGCTTTCTCAACCTCCTGAAATAAAAAATGATCTCCAATGCAATCCAAGAACTTACTGGATAATCGGTGCCCGGTGCCCTGCTGTGTTAGTTTCCCAACATACTTCTGGATAGTTAAAGACCCCCATCACCTTTCTCCTGCCCTGTGCCTGTTTTGTCTCTCTGGGCTCTAAGATCTTTAGGGCCAATACTGCCTCTGGCTATGATTGCACAGAGTCTAGCAGAATGGGACCCTGGTCTTAGTTGTAGCCTGCAGGCATTTTGTAACATTAATAAATAGCAACAAAAAAATGCATGAGACATCCCCAGATTATGGGTTTCTCCTCACCACTCTGGCACAGTGCAATGTCAGTAGGTCAGTTTGGTATTCTGGAAATTTGCCTTATGTTACTGAGACTCAGGGGGAACTTGTTACAGTGCACAAAGCAAAGGAATCACATGTCCAAGTCAGAGAGCTGTTCATTTCTATAGCTCTGAATGGATACAGATTTATACCCAGAGGTGCAGAGAGCCTTGTCCACACAACTGCAGGGCTCTCCCTGGAACCATGTCAGCAAGAGGAGTAGAACATGGGGCTGCAGCTCCTAGGTGCCAGCATCCCATGCCAGCAGCTCCTGCATTGTGGCTGTACAACCCCCATTCCTGCCCCAGTAATAGGTAAAGGGATGGAGCTGTTGATGGCCATGGGTGAAGCTTCAGTCAGCTGCTTTGGAATGGGAGGCAGGAAGCAGAGTTGAGATTTTGACAAAGGCAGAGATAGGTCATAAGGTGATGTGATTACTCACGATCTGGAAAAAAATGATTGCCACTACTAGAGCCACTTGTACCTGCTGGGATGCATACGGCTGTCTTTAATCTAGATTAATTGTTCCCGGCAGATGCAAAGCAGGATGAGGCTATGATGTGTCCTCATCTACAAGATGTTTGGTGAAAACTTTTTGTTATTCCATTGGTGGGCTCCCCATATGCAACACAAAATCCACATTATACTATCTCTACAAAACCCATGATCAGTCATATTGGCTCCCATATTGGTACTGTGTGAACTTTTCTACAGTACTTCACAACATTTAAGACCCTACAAGCACAGCATGACATGTATTGTGAGTAGTGGGTCTTGAGAAGGGACTTCTAGAGGGGAGAGAGGTGACTAGCGAGGTCCCTCAAGGTTCTGTCTCTGACCAATCCTATTCAACTTATTTATAAATGATCTAGCGAAAGGGGTAAACAATGAGGTAGCAAAATTTGCAGATGATAACAAACTGCTCAAGATAGCTAAGACCAAAGCAGCCTATGAAGAGCTTCAAAAAGATCTCACCAAACGAAATGATTGGGCAACAAAATGGCAAATGAAATTTAATATTGATAAATGTAAAATAATGCACAATGGAAAAAATAATCCCAACTATACATACAATATGATGGGGACTAATTTAGCTACAGCTACTCAAGAGAGAGATCTTAAAGTCATTGTGGATAGTTCTCTGAAAATATCTACTCAATGTGTAGCAGCTGTCAAAAAAGCAAACAAAATGTTAGGAATCATTACAAAGGGGACAGAGAACAAGACAGAGAATATCTTATTGCCTTTATATAAAACTATGGTGTGCCCACATCTTGAACACTGTGTATTGATGTCATCGTCTCATCTCAAAAAAGATACATTGGCATTGGTAAAAGTTCAGAAAAGGGCAACAAAAATGATTAGAGGTTTGGAATGGGTCCCATATGAAGAGAGATTAAAAAGACTGGGAGTTTTCCGCTTCGAAAAGAGGAGACTAAGGGGAGATATGATAGAGGTCTATAAACTCATGACTGGTATGGAAAAAGTGAATAGGGAAAAGTTATTTACTTATTCCTATAGTATAAGAACCAGTGGTTACCAAATGAAATTAATAGGCAGCAGGTTTAAAACAAACAAAAGGAATTTTTTCTTCATTCAGAGCACGGTCAACCTGTGGAACTCCTTGCCAGAGGATACGTTGAAGGCTAGAATTTTAACAGGGTTCAAAAGAGAGCTATATAGATTAATGGAGGTTAGGTCCATCAAAGGCTATTAGGCAGGATGGGTAGGAATGGTGTCCCTAGCCTCTGTTTGTCTGTAAATGGATGACAGGAGAGGGATCACATGATCATGTGTTCCCTCCCTCTGGGTCATCTGGTATTGGCCATTGTTGACAGACACAATACTAGGCTAAATGGACCTTTGGTCTGACCCAGTATGGCCATTCTTACGTTCTTATGATGTTCTTATGTTCCTGTGGGTATGAACATCAAGTGTGGAATTCCTAGATATCCTAGAACTACAGAGTCTGACACTAAACAGGATTCTTCTAAGGCAGATTAGTTATGCTCCATACAGGTTGGTAGGCATGGCTATTTCTGGTAACATCTTAACAATCATGGTCCACTCTGTTCTCTGTGGGCACTTTTGGTTCCACTGCATTCTTTTTCTATGGATAAAAGTTTGTGCCAAGGATGCTGGCGAGGTAGTTCCCTTCCATCTCCTGTTGTACAGAACGTTATGTGCCAGTTGTCCACCTAGCCATGGCGCTCTCATCTCAGAGAAAGCTACATGATTCTGTATGACCTTTGGTCTTTTGTAGACCCTCCATTTGCTGTGCTGGCCAAGCATTAATCTTCTGAGAAGCGCTGCCTCTTTCTAAGCTGTTGTGTGTGCCAGGTTTGGGAAGGAACAAGCACCTATCTTACCTGTAACAAAATATCAATCAGGATGTTATTTTATGCAATGGAGGAACTTCATAGTGTGTCACATCCTTGAAACAATGTCATTGTTTTCGTGCTTATCCATTCTCCCCTAGCATGCAGACCTGGCATCTGTTGTGATTCAGGTTTCAGGTGTCTGTAGCCTTTTTCCCCCTCATACATGCTTCCCTCAACTACAAGTGAGAGAGTCTCCATGTCAGTCGCCAGCTCTCAGCACCCCAGTCCATCAACCATGGGACACAAGTCCAGTGCCAGCAGGGCAAGGTACAGAGTGGAGGAAATTTACTTTTGTTTGTTGTTCTGAGTAATTCTCCTGTTCTCATGCACAGATCTTCACTAAGAGCAGAATCCTGGGCTTGATGCCTGTGAATGGCTCCTGCTTCAGTGAAATGGGAGCCTTCTGGATATACACCGTGTTTAAGTGTTGTGGTGCTAGGCATCATAGAGACAGAAGATAAAGCTAGAATTTGGCTCACTGAGTAGACTTCCCCTGTTCTGTTTCATGTAGCTGATGAATACCTTATGAGCTCTGGAATATGGAATGACATCATGCAGCTTGCAAACTTTTCTGCCCTGTTCTTTTAGCCCCAGATTGGAAGGCTCTGATTCCATTTGGGTCACAGGCCATCTGACAAGCTGGACTCATTTCTGAGGAGGGGTAATTCTAAAAAGACATAGCATAGCCTAGGCAAGACCAAAATACACCCACAGTGGAGCACTGAAGCATATAGACCACCTTAGCTTCACTGTGGAAGCTGGTTGGCCTGCAAGGACCACGGTGCCCTAGTCAGATAAATGGGGTATTGCATGCTGGCACTTAGTCTCCACAGGCTGCATCTTAAAGCTGTAATTGGTCCATTTGATGCAAATTAGCTGTAGCTTTCAAGCTCCTTGCTAAGTTGTCAAATTGGGCGTCTGTTCACTAGTGTGGCAGTGCCCTGTACTCACTGCCACACTGTCTATGACAATTGCTGGGCAAGCAGAGACTGCTCATCTGAGGTGCTTGCTCTGGAAAGTCTATGAAAAAGAAAAAGGCTCTGTTTGTCTTTCCTTAGCTTAATTTGATGATCGAAGAAAGGGTTAGTCATAGCCGCAAAGATAGCTATGAAAATGAATTGTGGAGAAAGAAGAGTTGCATAAACTTGGCTTCAGAGGAGCTCGTTCTCACAGGCTCTGACAGTGTGCTGGCAAGCAAGGTGACTTGTGCAGGGGTGGCTTGTGACAGGTGCAGACAGATGGGGGGCAGGTCACTTTGAAGAAAGCATTACAAAGTGGGAGGCGGGACAAGTGCAAGGAGATTCAGCTTCCTGATCTTCAAGGAAAAACAGCACAAAGGATAACAATCAATTGGCAAGGTCACTGAGTATCACTATAGAAGGGTTTTAATGTTGCAGGACAAAGAGAATGAGAGATAGGTAATGATTATTACATCCTGAGATTATTGGAAATGGTCAAACTGAATATAAATTAAGATTCAGTGATAATCCAATAGCACTTGCATCCCACTTTCTCTCTCTAATGCACATGCGTGTGTGCGCACCTACCCACACATATATATACACACACACACAGAGGATACGGCTACACTGCGGGAGGGGGGCTCAAAGAAGGTATGCAAATTGTGCTTGCATTTGCATACCACCTTCTTTTTTTTTTCCGGAAGAGTATTTTCCAAAATGTGGGGGGGGGGGAACTCCTCTTTCGAAAGCTTGTAAACATCGTTTTAGGAGGAATAAGGGGGCAAGCGCAATTTGCATACCTTCTTCAGAAAAAACCCCACAGTGTAGCTGTACCAACAGTCTCTCTCACTTTTCCACACTTCCATTAGTTCCTCTAATGTGAATGTTTCTGTTACTGTCTCCATCCTTCTCTAGCAAAGGGATCCTCTTTGTGAAGGAATATGTGAACAGCCGTGAATTATCTTCCACTCCACACTACAGCAGGTATGGCTCACTCCACAGTGAAGATGCAGAACTGAGTCTATTAGGGTTAGAGGAAAGAAACAGTCACACTGAAATTCCCAAACCTCAGTGTGTGATGCTGTTGGGCTTCATTGCATGTTTGCAAAAGTGGTTGTATTTGGTGAGAAAATATTTTTGTGGGTTTTCTGTCAAAAATATGCGTATTTTGATTGAAAATTATCTATGTTCAAGACAAAACTCACAGTGGCTGTGTCTAGACTGGCAAGTTTTTCCACAAAAGCAAGTGCTTTTGTGGAAAAACTTGCCAGCTGTCTACATTGGCCCCTTGAATTTCCACAAGAACACTGACTTCCTACTGTCTGAAATCCGTGCTTCTTACGGAAATACTATGCTGCTCCCGTTCGGGCAAAAGTCCCTTTTGCGCAAAAGGGGCCAGTGTAGACAGCTCAGATTTGTTTTGCGCAAAAAAGCCCCGATCGCGAAAATGGTCCATAAAAGTGCTTTTGCAGAAAAGCGTCCGTGCCAATCTAGACGCTCTTTTCTGCAAATGCTTTTAACGAAAAACGTTTCCATTAAAAGCATTTGCAGAAAATCATTCCAGTCTAGACGTAGCCCAGTGTGTTTTAAATTTTGTTTAAAGTTGGTGAAGTTATTCCAGATTCTCACCACTATAATTGAGAGCAGCATTTGACTTTCTTTGCTTTCTGTTCATGTTCATCTGGTAAACATTAACACCTTGCTAAAATGCATACGTGCCATGCTCACCTCAAAAAAGATATTTTGGCCTTGGAAAGGGTTCAGAGAAGGGCAACTAAAATGATTAGGGGTTTGGAACGGGTCCCATATGAAGAGAGGTTAAAGCGACTGGGACTTTTCAGTTTAGAAAAGACGAGACTGAGGGGGGACATGATAGAGGTATTTAAAATCAAGAGTGGTGTGGAGAGGGCGGATAAAGAAAAGTTATTTATTAGTTCCCATAATAGAAGAACTAGAGGACACCAAATGAAATTAATGGGTAGCAGGTTTAAAACTAATAAAAGAAAGTTCTTCTTCACACAGGTAGTTAATCTGTGGAACTCCTTGCCAGAGGAGGCTGTGAAGGCTAGGACTATAACAGAGTTTAAAGAGAAGCTAGATAATTTCATGGAGGTTAGGTCCATAAAAGGCTATTAGCCAGGGGATAAAATGGTGTCCTTGGCCTCGGTTTGTCAGAGGTTGGAGAGGGATGGCAGGAGACAAATTGCTTGATAATTGTCTTCGGTCCACCCTCTCTGGGGCACCTGGTGCTGGCCACTGTCAGTAGACAGGCTACTGGGCTAGTTGGACCTTTGGTCTGACCCAGTACGGCTGTTCCTATGTGCTTTTGTCCTCACTCAGGACAGCACTAGAATGTATAACTCCCTGTCCACAGCAATGTTACTTTTGTCAGTTTCTAGCTATTCTGATCTCAAAAGCAGGCCTTAGTAACTTCAAGATGTGCTTTTATATTTGGAATATCTGTATTTCTATTTGTAGTTCTAATTCAATTGCATTTAAGAAAGTAAACAAATGTGAAGGTCACTGGGGCAAGAATTGAATCTTTTGTCTGTGGAGTGCTGATCTCATAGCATTGGTATTGGCAGATATACTATAATCAGTAGTAATGATATCCTAACCTAAAGTGTTATTAGGATGCCATGTGTGAAATTGTGGCTCCACTGATATCAGTGGGAGTTTTTTCATGGGCTTCAGTGGAGCCAGAATTTCACCTGCCCAGGGCCTATGCAAATGAGTTAGTGGTCTCAGAATGTATCTATCCAGCAAAAACTGTGCCCAAGCCAGCCTGTCTGAGCTATGCTGATTCCAGTTACGGTAAGTAACAATAGAAGTGAAGGCAGCACAGTATGAGCTTCAGTGTGGGTCATATTGGCTTGGCACCAGCCTTCGTGCTTGCCCATTCTGAGGCCCACACTGTGCAGTCTTTTCTATAGTTATCCACCTCGTTGGATTCAAGCTAGCTGGGTAAGCCAGCCTGTGCGCAGCTTCTACTGTAGACATTCCCTCTGCCCAGTTCACAAAAGCATATACCTTGGTTAGCAGCCTTGTTATCATACTTAGTAGGAACTCACTTTTCAGAAAATGTCAGTTGTTATTTAATAGGCTAGGGGTGACCCTCCTGTTGGAGAAGAGGCACCTGGGAAGTTGGTCTGCAGCACTGTGACCCAGTTAGAATTTTTGGATGCTCTGCACTGATTAATGTTTCCACTCCTATACATGACTGTCTAAGTAATGGTCCCTCCCTCCCTCTGTTCTGCAGTGGCAGTCTGGTTGATTTGTCTGAGAAAGAGAGAGCAAGCTACAGTAATGCCAGCTACCTGCACAGCAGTGCTGCCCCAAGGTAAAACAATTCCTTGCAGCAGAATGTTCCCAAAGGCACATTATACAGAAACGTTCTTTCAGGCGTTCCTATATACGCTCTTTTAGATCATATGCAGGTGTTCAGAAAAATAAGGCTCTTTTGTTTGGCTTCTTTGTAAAAAAAAGTTAGAAATGTCCAAGAAGAATAAAGCGCATCAGCCACAGAGTAACTGGGGGTGGTGTTGAAACCGCTTCCTGCTGCCATGCTGCGTTGGGATATTTACATAGGACTCTTTGTGTTTCAACTCTGGCAAACCTGCTACCTCACACATGCGTTTGTATTGACTTCTGGCACAGACAAGACATGTGGATAGTCGTCTTCTTTCATACTGTGTGGTAGTCTGGGACAGGAACGGTTTGTGTTCTTGAGGTGGTGTGATTCATGGGTCCTTTCTTGTCCAACCCACAGGTCATGTGAAGGAGTCTGCACTTACTGTGGCCGTGAGATCCGAGATTGCCCTAAAATAATGATAGAACATCTCAATGTTTACTGCCATGAATACTGCTTTAGGGTAAGGGACATTATTACTAAAGGTCATTCTCTACATGTTTTTATGTAATGGAGCTGGAGCGGGAGTCTTGTGGGAAACTGATTGTGGGCTGGGAAAGGGATCATAGGGTAATATTTGTTCAAATTTTGATATGAAAAAAATTAAGTGATACTTCATCTTGGAGTAGGAAGTCATGTGACCGCAGATTTTGAAAGTGCTCACAAAAATTATCTCCAGCCACTGTATAAACTAATTGTTGAACTAGAAGATCCTTTTGTTATCATGGTGATTTAACTGATTTTATAATCCAGTGAAATTAAACACCAAATTGACCATACAAGCAGTGATTGTCAAGCACTAGGTGGCTCAGAGGGTTTATAACAGTCGAAATGTTTTATAGCCAATAGTGACTGAAACTTGTTGATATCAGGTGAGTAATGTGAATTTAGTTGGTGGCCTTAATTCACAATTGACTGTTGTTTGCATCAAAAAGTCAATCCCCACAATTAGCAACCCAAGGAGAGAGGTTGAATTTTGGGTGTGTTATGGAGACTGACAGTCGCTTTCTTCCTGAAGTTGATATGCATTCCTCTGGGTTGACACACATTGAGGTGGGAAGGTGCATAAATGGAGCTTGTTGTGATATAGCTTGTTCTGTACTGTACAGAAGCAGAGGTTTTTAGTTTCCAGGGCCATTAATCCAGCAACTTTCACCAGCTTTAAGTTCATTTAAAAAATACAGAAATTGCCATCCATTTCTCAATTCTCTTCCTATATATGCATCTAAGTAGAGTTCTATAGTAGTAACCATCCAATCCACTGGTTTTGTTTCCATAGTGTGGGATTTGCCATAAGGCAATGGGTGACCTCCTGGATAAAATATTTATTCATCGTGACATTGTCCACTGTGACCAGTGCTATGAGAAGCTTTTCTAGGTGAGTGCCATGTTTTCCAGTGGTGGCATGACTGGATGGACACTAGTTCATGGAGAGCATAAAGAATGGCGAGTACACTGGCAGTTATAGGGTGGTCAACAGTTCTGCACATCTCATGTGCACAAGAATCTTCTTGACCCACGATGGAAGGCACTAAGCCCCAGCCATTGCATTGTTATTGCAAGTCCCTGATTTACAGAAATATATTGCTAGTTCAAAGGATCTGCATAACTGGGCAAGTCACTTCAGACATATTCTCTAGAAATGAAGAATTCTTGATCTCAGGTGGCCAAATCAAGCAGAAACCTGGCTTGATTAGTGAACAAAATGACATTTGCACATGGATCTCTTCTTCAGTATCAGCTGGACATAATATTCCTCCTGCTTTCCTGTAATAACCTGGGGTGCAGTGTTGCTGTGCACTGTTAAAGAGCTGCCCAATTCCCACTTAGATGTGGCAGCACTGCAGTGGTAGGTGAAATGATTCCTGCTTGTGAAGATTTGGGGGGGGGGGTTCAAAATAGTATGAAAAAGTCTAAATCTAAGAAACTGTGCTATAGTTTTTGCCAACCCTAAAGGAAATAGATTGATTTTGTTTGGTAGTTGCTAGCTTGAAATAAAAGGAGCAAACATAAGATAAAACGAGTGGCGTCTGACACTACAATAAGCTCAGAAATGGTTCTCTCTCTGATTATCTGTATACATGCTTCACTGCACACATGACTGCTGTACTGTCACTTTTGCTTAGATAAAACTAAGCATCTCACTCCTCCTAGGCTTATATCTGCTTTAGCTCTGTAAAGCCATTTTCTGTGTAGCACCCTGTTCTTGCACTCAACTTCTCTTCTTTGATCTTAGGTCTTGAAAAACTGAAGGAGCCAGTCTGTTGGAAGACTTCTTCAGCAATATGTATGGGATTGCATCCAGCAGTGCATGACTGGCTGACTAAGATACCAAATCTCCTGCTCCCCCTTTCCTGGAGTTATTTTCCTCTCACCATCTCATCACAATGGATGAGTTTAACATCCACTAGTTTATTTTGTCATCAGCACACAAGAGACGTGCCAACATTAAGAAGAAAAGGCAGTGTCCTCTGCAAAAAAGAAATGTCCTGATTTTTCAAAGCTTCTGAGTACTCCAGCTACCATTAACTTCAGTGGAATTTGTGGGTACTCAGCAACCAGGAAATCAGAAGCATATCTCTGAGGCTGATGTGCTAGGATTCTCTTTTATCTTCGCTTTTATTTGATTTTTATAGTAGGCACACATCTGCATCTGATGCCATCAGTCAGGCTGCCAATAGGTAATAGAGGTGTGAAAGCCCAAGCTTAGGGCCATGGAAATGTATCCAGGCTGAATCTAGCTGTAGGAGAGGCTTCATCTCCATATTCTGAGGGAAAATAACAATTGCTTCCCTCTTGTCTGCAATGGATTTTCTGAAGAACCTGGAGACTGGCTTTGCCTTAATTGCATGTCAGGTTCAGTTTCCCTTCTTTTCCTGTTCTTTTGGGGTTTCCTTTAGCAGCACACATGTCTGCTGCATGTTTTGAAGAACTTGCACATTTTTTCACTTGGAATTCTAGTTTAACTTTGAGTGCAGTGACTGATGTACACAATCACAAACTGAGGTGGTAACAAGAGTTGTACATAACTAAAAATAGGGATCTCAAGTAATTTTTAGCTCCCATATTCAGACTTTGAGAATTATGCCATTAAAATTGTTGATCAGCAAACCCTGAATACTTAGCCATCTTACTTTAAAATATAGCTCCAAGTATGGAGGAAAATATATTGTATTATCTTAGAAAGCAATAGAGCTAATACGGAGACAATAATTACCTATGAAACGCTTTATGTGCCCTGTGATAGGGGCTGACATGCATGCAAAAGCCCAGCAACGTAACCTTTTCTAGAGCACAGTGCTTCACAACCTCTTCTAGCAGTCGTGCTTATTAATCAGGCATGAGGGCATGATCCTAGGAGCACTCCCTAAGTAGAACTCCCATTGAAATCAGTAAGAGTTCTGCCCCTGGAACGCATGTAAGTTCTGACCTTAAAATTGTGGCTGTATCTGTGGCTTGGGGAACCAAGGCAACAATGAGGATTTGAGCAGGCACAGCTGAACATGAGGTGTCTCATGTTGGACACCTCAAAATTGAGGTACCCCAAATCACTGATCACTTTTGAAAATCTTGGCTTGAAGAACCTTGGGAATCACTGGAAGAGTAGCTAGGACAAGATAGTGATAGAAATGTAGCTGTGTTAGTCTGGTGTAGCTGAAACAAAATACAGGAATATGTAGCACTTTAAAGACTAACAAGATGGTTTATTAGATGATGAGCTTTCGTGGGCCAGACCCACTTCCTCAGATCAAATAGCCAAAGGATACAATTAAAAAAAAGTGAACACATATGAAAAGGACAAATCACATTTCAGAACAGAAGGGGGATGGGGGGGGGGGGGGGGGAGGAAGGTAAATGTCTGTGAGCTAATGGTATTAGAGGTGATAATTGGGGAAGCTATCTTTGTAATGGGTAAGATTACTGGGGTCTTTGTTGAGACCCCGGCGTAGAGTGTCGAGTTTTAGCATGAATGACAGTTCAGAGGATTCCCTTTCAAGTGCAGATTTAAAAGGCTTCGGAAGCAGGATGCAGGTAGTTAAGTCGTTGACAGTGTCCTTTCTGGTTGAAATGGCAAGAAACTGTTTTTTCTTTGTGATCCTGTCTAATATCTGTTTTGTGGGCATTGATCCTTTGGCGAAGTGTCTGAGACATTTGTCCAGTGTACAAAGCAGACGGACACTTTCAGCACATGATAGCATAAATTATATTTCTGGATGCGCAGGAATATGTGTTCTTGATCTTATAACTCTCTTGGTTAGGTCCAATAATGGTATCAGCAGAGTGAATATGTGGACAAAGCTGGCAACGGGGTTTGTTGCAAGGGAAGGTACCGGGGTTGGTATTAGTGTGGTGTGTCCTGCGGTTGTTGGTAAGAATCATCTTTACCTCCTCCCCTCCTCTCCCCGCGCATCCCCCTTCTGTTCCGAAATTTGATTTGTCCTTTTCATATGTGTTCTTTTTTTTAATTGTATCCTTTGGTATATATGGTTGTGACTCTTTTCTTCCACAATTTGATTTGAGGAAGTGGGTCTGGCCCACGAAAGCTCATCATCTAATAAACCATCTTGTTAGTCTTTAAACTGCTACATAGCCCTGTATTTTGTTAGGACAAGATAGATATCTTTGGGGCACTATTTGTTGCAAGACTGCTGTTGCAAGTCTGGCACTCCCAGCCTCAAGGGATTATTTAAAATACACCACCATTACACTACTATTTGTGCACTTTTGCAGAAGATACACACAGATAATTGTTAACTATATTCAATAGTTCTCTGCCGTTGGATATGCTCTTGCAAAGCATTGCAGAATAGGCTTCAATTCATTATATTTTTTGCTTCATTGTTGTTGATTGCTCTGTAGCACCTATTTAACCACTATGTACAATTCTAATAAATACCGAGGCATTACAAGTGTCATACTGTAAACATGTTCTTATTGCCAACTGGAGTCATTTGGTTTGGTAGACTGTGTGATTGTTTTTTCCTGATGGCCTTAGGCTATTAACATCAGTAAAGACGCTAGATACTTTCTAATGGATTAGGGTTTGGGGAAAAGGCAGACTGGTGAGAACTGGGGGCAAAAGCCTTGCAAACAGCTTAAAGCTGGATGGGCTACTGCTGTCCAAACCAACTGCTGCTGCATATGAGAAGGGAGTCTAAATTAGAAGCTCCTGTTCCAGTTATTTCAAGAGGGTGAGAGATTCTTCATTTGAAAAATTCTCCAGCATTTAGAAATGAGCACCAATGTGTCTTCTCACATGACGTTCTCCATGAGGCCCTGCAGACACTGCTTATTTGCTCTCTGAAGAGTTCCCTGAGACCAACGGTGATCCTTTCTCTCTCTCTCTCTCTCTCTCTCTTTTTCTTCTTCTTCTTTTTCTTTTGCCAAGGTCCAGAGATGATTATGATGATGATGATAAATAAAATATTCTGAGTCTGTACAAAAGTGTCTGTGGTCTGGATTTGGCCACAGACTACCCCTGCCTGGGACAATTATAAATCATAGATGTGTAGAGCACTAAGGGACTTCAAAAAGCCATCCAGTTCAGCCCTCACACTCGGGCACAACCAAGCATGCTTCTGTGGTCCTGGGAGCTTTCCATGAGATGGTGCTTATGTGTAGAGCTGCTCAGAATTTTCCAGTTTTAGTTTTTTTTCTATTTCCCTGCCCTAATTTTTTTATAAAAATAAAATCTCACCTATTTTCACCAAAACATTTTCAGCCAGCTAGATACTAGATACTATAGCTGATAGAATTTGTTTTCCTAAAAATTCATCAAAAATTTTTTAAAACAGTATAAAATGTCAAAAAAATTATTTTAAACTGCTTTTTCAGTTAACTCTACTCATTAGTTCCCAGCATGTTCCATCAGATATGGCTTCTGCATTTTCAGGGACATGCTGGTTAGCAGGACCGAGCTCTTCATTGGTGTGTGCTCTGCTTGGGAGTGGTAACTGAAAACATGAATGCATGTTATGTATTGATACACTGAGAGCTGCTGTAAATTCTCACCAAAAAGCATTTTGCCAAAACAAAAGACCCAAAGAGACACTGTTGTAAGTGACATTGTATCTGGATGACCTGGAGGTCCATTTAGCAAAGTACATTCACTCCCCATGTCAGGAATAAATTACAGAGAAGCATTTCACATAGGGAGGGAGTGGGGAACACAGCTGACAGATCAGGAGGCTTTCTAGTTAAAGCAGGAGAAATCGGAGTTAGAAGACCTGGATTCTATTTCTGATTGTTTTGGGGGTCATGCTACCTGATCTGCAGGCAGAAGAGACCCTCTGCATGTGCATTTCTCCTCTCCCATGCGGATACTAAGTCAAACTTTAACGTTCTTCTGACCCTAAAGAGCCCCCATTGATTGTCCAGTCCTGGACTACCTGCCTCCATCCCAGATTTTGTGGTCATTGGAGGTTCTCTCAGGGTCTGCTATGTTGGCTACTTGTGCAAAGCCAGGGCAGCACAGATAGGGGGCAAATGCATGTGTCTGCATGGTTATTATCAGCATTCAACAAAGCAAAATCTGTCAGGACACCACACTGGTGACTTCTGACATGAAGGAAGGAGGGCAAGGCAGGGCTTGACATGCTTGTGCACGCAAGTCCACGTTTTCTACCTCCAGGCCCAGCATGATGCAGGTAGTCCGGCATGGAATATGTTAGCAAATGCTTTCCTCTTGACACTTTCAAGGGCTCAGATATGAATCATAGAACACTAGAACTGGAAGGGACCTTGAGAGGTCATTGAGTCCAGGCTCCTGCCTTCATAGAGGACCAAGCACTGTCTAGACCAGGGGTTCCCAACCTTTTTTGGTCCCCATACTCCCTTGGCTCTTAGTAAATTTTCCCGTACCCCCTATTCAATATGAAAGGAAATAAATTCTAGACTCTAGAATCCACAACTTTTTTCACTAACACTACTACTTTTGGAATATTTCAATTAGGATAATCTAGTTATTTACCAAATATTCCCCGTACCCTCTTGACAAGCTTCTTGTACCCTCTGGGGGTACACGTACCCCAGGTTGGGAACTCCTGGTCTAGACCATTCCTAATAGATGCCTATCTAACCACCTCTTAAATACCCCCAGAGCTGGAGATTCCACAGCCTCCCTAGGCAATTTATGCCAGAGTCTAACCACCCTGACAGGAAGTTTTTCCTAATGTCCAACCTAAACCTCCTTTGCTGCAGTTTAAGCCCATTGCTTCTTGTCCTATCCTTAGAGGCAAAGGAGAACTATTTGTCTCCCTCCTCCTTGTGACACCCTTTTAGATACTTGAAAACCGCTAGCATGTCCCCTCTCAGTCTTCTCTTTTCCAAACTAAACAAGCCCAATTCATTCAGTCTTCCCTCATAGCTCATGGGCTCTGCTTAGACTGCAGGCTTCTTTTGGAAAAACCTTTCTTTGGAAGAGATCTTCTAAAAAAAATTCCACACAAAAAGAGACCTTCCACACACAAAAGCACATCTGCTTTTTCAAAAGATAGTGTCCACACTGAATGGATGCTATCTCGCATTTAAGCTGTGAGTACTAAGGCCAGAGTGGCCACCTGGGCACCTGTGCCTTTTCCCCTTTCCTTTTTTGAAAGAACTCCCTCGTCCCTGTCCACACATGCCTTTTTCTGAACGAGTTCTTTCAGAAAAAAGGCTTCTTCTTCATAGAAAGAGGATTACTAACGCTGGAAAAACCCCTATGTTCTTTCAATTTACTTTCGGAAGAACGCGATTGCAGTGTGGACGTAACTCAAGTTTTGTCGGAAAAAGCGGCTGTTTTTCCGACAAAACTCTGTAGTGTAGACATACCCATGTTCTCTAGCTCTTTAATCATTCCTGTTGCTCTTCTCTGGACCTTCTCCAATTTCTCTACAGCTTTCTAGAAAAGTGGTGCTTAGAACGGGACACAATACTCCAACTGAAGCCTAATCGTGCAGAGGAGAGTAGAAGAATGCCTTCCCATGTCTTGCTTACAACACTCCTATTAAGGCATCCAAGAATTATGTTTGCTATTTGTGCAACAGCATCACACTGTTGCCTCATATTTAGCTTGTGGTCCACTATGACCCTTAGATCCCTTTCTGTAGTACACCTTCCTAGACAGTCACTTCCCATTCTGTATGGATGTGTCTAGACTACAGAGGTTTTTTTAGAAAAAAAAAAAAGGCCTTTTTTTGAAAACACTTCCCCTGCACCTAGACCACTGCTGCATTCTTTCGAAAATACGTGGCAGTTTTTTTGACTGTGGAAAACCTCGTTTTACAAGGAATAACACCTTTTTTCGAAAGTGCTCTTTCAAAAAAAGGCACTATTGAATGCAAACTGTGCTTTTTCAAAACCGGGCATCTAGACTGCCTGGCTGCTCTCTTTCAAAAAAGCAACTTGCTTTTTCGAAAGTACTGGTTGTAGTCTAGATACTCTTTTTCAAAAGAGGCTTTTTCAAAAATATCTTTCGCAAAAGCCTCTTTTGAAAGAGGTTTGCAGTCTAGACGTAGACACTGTGTGAAACTGATTATTCCTTCCAAAGCGGAGTACTTTGCATTTGTCCTTATTCAACTTTGTCCTGTTTACCTCAAACAATTTCTCCATTTTGTCCAGATCATTTTGAATTATGACCTTATCCTCCAAAGCACTTGCAACCCTTTCCATCTTGGCATTATCTGCAAACTTAATAAGCATACTCTCTATGCCAATAGCTAAATCATTGATGAAGATATTGAACAGAACCGGTTCGAAAATAGACTCCTGCAAAACCCCACTTGTTATGTCTTTCCAGTGCGATTATGAGCCATTAATAACTACTCTCTGAGAATAGTTATCCGGCCAGTTATGCACCCACTTTATAGTAGCCTCATCTAAGTTGTATTTACCAAGTTTAGTGATAAGAAGATCATGTGAGACTGTATCAAATGCCTTTCTAAGGTCTAGGTATACCATGTCCACAAGACTTGTTATCTTATCAAATAAATCTATCAGATTGGTTTGACATGATTTGCTCTTTATAAATCCATGCTGGCTGTTACCTATCACCTTATTTTTTTCCAGATATTTGCAGATGAATTCCATAATTACCTGCTTCATTATCTTTCCTGGCACAGAAGTTAAACTGACTGGTCTGTAGTTTTCTGGATTGCTTGTATTTCCCTTTTTATAGATGGGCACTATATTTGCCTTTTTCCAGTCTTCTGGAATCTCTCCCATTTTTCAGAATTTTTCAAAGATGATAGCTAAAGGCTCAGATACTTCCTTTGTCAGCTCCTGGAGTACTCAAGGATGCATTTAATCTGGTCTTGGTGACTTTCAGACATCTAGTTTTCTTAGTAACATTTAACATATCCTTTTATTTATTTTAACTTCTAAACCTACCCCATTTCCACTAGCATTCACCATGATAAGCATCCTGTCACCATCAATCTTCTTGGTAAAAACCAAAACGAAGACATCATTAAGCACCTCTCCCATTTCCAAATTTCCTGTTACTGTTTCTGCCTCTTCAACTGAGCAATGGGCCTACCCTGTCCTTGGTCTTCCTCTTGTTTTTAATAGATTTGTAGACTGTTTTCTTGTTATCCTTTATGTTTCTAGACAGATTTGGCTCTTTTTGTGCCTTTGCCTTTCTAATCTTGCCCTGCATACTTGCATTATTTCCTTATATTCATCCTTTGTAATTTGACCTAGTTTCCACTTTTTATATGACCCCTCTTGGATCTCCTGCTTAAGCGTAGGTTGTCTCTTGCCATACTTTCTTTCCTATGCAATGGAATAACTTGCTTTTGAGCCCTTAATAATGTCCCATTGAAAAACTGCCAACTCGTCCGTTGTTTTTCCTCTTAGTCTTACTTCCAATGGGACCTTACCTACCAGTTCACTCAGATTACCAAAATCTGCCTTCCTGAAATCTATTCTCTGTTTTGCAGTTCTCCAGTTCTCCCGTCTACCGTTCCTTAGAAAGATGAACTCTATGATTTCATGAACACTTTCACCCAAGTTGCCTTCCACTTTCAAAGTCTCAACCAGTTCCTCCCTATCTATTAAAATCAAATACAGAACAGCTTCCCTCCAGTAGCTTTTTCAACCTTCTGAAATAAAAAATGGTTTCCAATGCAGTCCAAGAATTTATTGGACAGTTTGTGCCTTGCTGTGTTAGTTTCCCAACATTTGGCTCGATAGTTGGAAGTCCCCCATCACCGCCAAATCCTGTGCTTTGGATGATTTTGTTGTTTAGAAAAAGCCTCATCCAGCTCTTCTACCTGGGTAGGTGGGCTATAGTAGACCCCTAACATGACATCATCCTTGTTTTTTACTCCATTTTACCTAACCCAGAGACTCTCAACATATCTGTCTCCTACATCCCTCTCCATCTCAGTCCTAGTGTGTACATTCTTAATATATAAGATAACATCTCCTGCCTGTTCGTCTTGCCTATCCTTCCTGAGGAAGCTCTACCCTTCTATACCATGTGTATTATCGCACCAAGTGTCTGTGATACCCACTATGTCATAGTTGTGTTTATTAGGACTTCAAGTTCTTCCTGCTTATTGCCTATATACAAATGCAAGAAGTATGGGTATCTAAGATACTGATTTGATTTGCTTCCCAGTTCTGCCTAATCCCTTCTCTTTTTTTTTCTATTCTAGCCAATATTCCCTCCCATTTCTGACCAAACTCCCAGGTCTCTATAGGTAAGCAACCCCCAACTCAAAAAAAGGTTCCACATCTCTGAGATAAGGGGTCCAGGTTGCAACCTGAAGAAGTAGGTTGTGCCCATGAAAGCTAATCATAGGGCTGAAAGAGACCTCAAGAGGTCATCGACCCTGGCAAAAGCAGAACTAATCTCAACCAGCTACTATCTGCATTGTTTTGTTAGTCTCCAAGGTGCTGCATGACTATTTGCTGTTTAAGTTTTTTCCAGTTACAGACTAACATGACTCCTCCTCTGAAACCCCCAGCAGGAGCCCCTACACTCTTCTACAACCCAAATCCTTGCCCCATTCCAATGAAAATGAGCGAGGGGAAGGAGAACAGAGTGAGCAGGGGTGAGGCCTCACACATGGGATGGAGCGGTGGGCGGGGCCTTGGCCAGGAGTGGGGCAGGGCAAAAGGGTATTAGCTCTTCTGAAATTAGGAAGTTGGCAACCCTGGAGTGCACATGCATGCACATGCACATGCATGATGTAAGCAAATTTCACTCCACGATTTGCATAATATCTGCAGGCTGATTTGCATAATTTGCATGCTGCTTTGCTGGGCCCCACCCCCAGCCGCAAAGCGTCTCCAGCAACAGCCCAAGCGAACTGCGCGCGCGCCGCCTGGGCGCTAGGGCCTCGTCGGCCGGGGGCGCGCGCGCACGGCAAGGTAGGGCCTTATCGGCCGTGGGGGGCGGGGTTTGAATGCGCGCGCGGCAACTGGCCCTTCCCCCTCCTGGAGCTAATGAGGCTCCAACGGCAGCCGGGGAAGGCGGCA